ATATAACATTACATTCAATTTACTTTCCTTCCTCTCCTCCCTCCCAATCTAAACACCACTGCAAAGGCAACGAATGTGTACCTTTCTTATTCCTGTTGCTTAGCACAGTAAAGGTACTTATTAAATACTGATCAAATAAATATATTATTCATATGACCACTACATGAGCCATTCTGAAGAACCTAAATAATAGTTTGTACCTTTTGGTTACTCAGAAAACTTCCAATGAGCACTATTAGATTATGGCTCCTATTACACTTCTCATGACACTAATGCCACTTCATTTTTGAGCAAAAGGTACCAATGAGAATCCTTTAGCTCTAGAACCTAAAGCAGTGATTCTCAACCCTGTCTGCACATTAGAATCATCTAAAGAGCTTTAAAAAAAAATACTAATGCCTAGGTCTTGTCCTCTGAAATCCCTATACGGTTGCCTGGGACATTTTTTTTTAATCTTAAACTTATCTTAGGATGAGATCCATTGATGTTAAAGCAAGGTAAACATATTCCTGATACCCTAAATTAAAACAAGAAGTTTTTAAGTATAGACTTGAACCTAAAAATTACATAATACTACTTCTACTTGAAAATGTTTAAAATTCCAGACATCTAAAACAAAAATGAATTTTAGAATATAGTTAAAGTCTGTGAAGAAAAAAAATAACATTGGATGTCAATTAAAATGGTCAAAATAAAGAATCCACAAGAATTAATCATTGTTCAGTGCCCAGGGAGAGATAAATGCAGGCAATGATACTTAAAAAAAAGCCAAGAAAATTTAAATATAATCTTGAGAGAGAGCTTAAGTGTGGGTGAACAACAGACAATGGTAGAATCCAAGAAAACAGAAAGGAATTGGGGAAGATAAAACGTCCATGAGAAAGATACAAAGTACCAGGGCAGAAGACTGGCATTGCAAAGGAGTGGGAAATGAGCCTGCATAAGTATTCAACAAGCTTTCATTTCCTCCCCTGAAGTAGATATTATCCCTCCCATTCCAGAAAAAAAAACCACAGAGGCTCTGAAAAGCTCAAATCTCAGAGGCATACGGAGCCTGGAATCAGACTCAGGCCTGTATGACTTTAAAAACCAAGCCCTTTCCACCATATCACCTTGCTTCACAAAGCAAACAGGCAAGGACAGAGAAAACAAAATTCAAGGGCATTAAATGGCACAACAAAGCAAAAAAACAGGGACCTGCCTGGTGGCACAGTGGTTAAGAATCTGCCTGCCAATGCAGGAAACATGGGTTCGAGCCCTGGTCCGGGAAGATCCTACATGCCGCGAAGCAACTAAGCCCGTGTGCCACAACTACTGAGCTTGCACGCTGCAACTACTGAAACCCGTGTGCCTAAAGCCCGTGCTCTGCAACAAGAGAAGCCACCACAATGAGAAGCCCGCGCACCACAACGAAGAGTAGCCCCCGCTCACTGCAACTAGAGAAAGCCCACGCAACAATGAAGACCCAACGCAGCCAAAAATAAATAAATTTTAAAAAAATAAAGATACATGTCAACTAAATACTTAAGAAAAAAATGCGAAAAACTAGAGGAGGAGCTCCCTGTAGGCTTTTAAACCTAGAAATAAGGTGAGGGGAAAAAATGTCATTCCAAATGACATTAACCTGGCAGTATACAGGAAGGACTGAAGGTGAAGAGGCTAGAGGAAAGGAGATTGCTGATTGCTTCATAATGAACAATAGACCTTAGTACTATTAAAGTACTGCATTCTTTAGTAGTTTTACAAGTTACTTGACTTTTCACTGCTTTAAGGAAACTTCTTTTATGTAAGTATTAAATACTTAGTAGTAGATTATTGTTCATCATAAGTGATCAAGTAACAGAAATTACTCAAATAGGCAAAGTTTGTGTGTAATATTTTCAAATCTACATCTCATTTCACATCTGGATGGAGTTTACAGTCTTTAGTGGTCAGCCTCCTTCCAGTCTTTTACCCTCCATTTCACCCTTAAAAAAGGATACTCAGGGCTTCCCTGGTGGCACAGTGGTTGAGAGTCCGCCTGCCGATACAGAGGACACGGGTTCGTGCCCCGGCCCGGGAGGATCCCACATGCCGCGGAGCGGCTGGGCCCGTGAGCCATGGCCGCTGAGCCTGCGCGTCCGGAGCCTGTGCTCCGCAACGGGAGAGGCCACAACAGTGAGAGGCCCGCGTACCGCAAAAAAAAAAAAAAAAAAAGGATACTCAATTAACTTTGCTAATATGTCATTCATATTTGAAGTTTCCCTGATCAAGAACCCAAACAGTTTCTTATTAATTAACTGTAACAAATCCAAACATCTCTGCCCTTTACATGCCCCCTTCTACCATCTCACCTAAACTTCTGTTCTCTCGGAAAGGATCATTCATGCCTTCCTCCTCACTGGGTCACAAAGTAACAAACACTACCCTGGAATTGTCTTATTTCCCAAACCACAATACCTCTTTCTATTCTCTCACTCAACTTCCAAACATCCATAGAGGCCCAGTTCAAAATCTATTATTCTCCAGAAAGCCCATTACTGAACCCTACAACACTCACAAAAGATTCCATACCAATGGCTGCGAAGCCCACGTGTGACTCATGTTTAGCCCAGGTTTCTTTTTTTTTTTCTTTTTCTTTTTTTTTTTTTTTTCGGTACGCGGGCCTCTCACTGTTGTGGCCTCTCCCGTTGCGGAGCACAGGCTCCAGACGCGCAGGCTCAGCGGCCATGGCTCACGGGCCCAGCCGCTCCACGGCATCTGGGATCTTCCCGGACCGGGGCACGAACCCGTGTCCCCTGCATCGGCAGGCGGACTCTCAACCACTGTGCCACCAGGGAAGCCCCAGGTTTCTTTTTTTTTTTTTTTAATAAAACTTTAGTCCATTGACCACACTTAAAAACTGGAAGATAACCCTTTAAGAAACTATATTTCCAACTTTCCTTGAAAAGGCTGGACACTCTGGCAACGCTGGGATCACACAGTCACACAGCCACAATCAGCTGTAGCTGAGTAGCAGCTGACGTCTTTTGAAAGATTTTTACATTTTGTTTGTTTTTGTTTGTTTGTTTGTTTTGCGGTATGCGGGCCTCTCACGGCTGTGGCCTCTCCCGTTGCGGAGCACAGGCTCCGGACACACAGGCTCAGCGGCCATGGCTCACGGGCCCAGCCGCTCCACGGCACGTGGGATCTTCCCGGACCGGGGCACGAACCCGCATCCCCTGCATCGGCAGGCGTACTCTCAACCACTGCGCCACCAGGGAAGCCCGGATTTTTACATTTTAAAGTCAGGAGATGACATCAACCGCCTGACTTCTGAGGCTGTATCTGCAGCAACTGCAATGATTCAAGAAATACTTGACTGCCTATTAGGCACTGGAGTTACAAAAGTAAACAAGACAAACACAGTCCCTCCCCAAAAGCCTAGCTTAGTAGCACAGACAAAGAGATAAGCAATCAGGATACATCCTATAAGTGCTACTAAAAGGGAAGTAGAGGGCACTTAGCACACAGCAAGGGTACCTAATTCTGTCTATGGAAAGTCAGGGAACACCCCCTCAGAGAAATTGACTAAACTGAGATCTTTAGCAGGTATAGGAATTATCCAGAAAAAGGTAGGGTAAGGATCAGGAAAATCAAAGAACTTTTGCAAAGACGATGCCTGAAGAAAAAAGCATTAAGAAAGTGAAATCAGTTCCATATGGCTAGAGCCATGACCCACCCACAAACGCAGGTGTCAAAAGAAAGGGCTCAATTGAAAGGGCTGGAGGGAAAAAAACAAGTGTTAGTTAGGGTCAGGAGACGTAAGAAAATTTCCATAAAGAGGCTGAATAAGTAAAAGTTTGTTAAGCAAGGAAGAAAGGTTTCAGAGAGCCCAGATGTTGTGTTGAGGGGTGAAATGTGGAAGAAAAGTAGGGAGAAGCAGTGAAAGCCTAAATCAAGGCAGAGGGAGCGAGCATAAAGCAGCACGGGGATGGGGGTGTAGCATAGAAGACCAAAGGGGCTTACATCTTGGACGGTAACCAAGGATAACAGGGATGTGAAGCATGGCAGTTTTGGCTGGCCACAAGTTTGCCAAGAGAATTAGTCCCAACGGTCCCCTGGTGGACGCGGAGGCATTCGGGCCTCTCAAAATTCTGCTGCGCCCTGGCTGGATTGCACTTCCGTCTCTCTAGAAGACATCGGCTTCAGTCTGGATTGATTGTGCAGGCTCCAGGAGAGGCTCTGAGCTCCAGGCTGCTGGCACGCAGGCTCCCAGGGAGTGATTAGAGGCCTGGTCTGTGTGTGCTGGTTGGTAGAAGTTAAGTATAAACTACCTTGCATTATTTTCTGTTTTTTCTGTCGGAATGATGGGCTTGTTTACAGCCACTTGGGGAAAAAGCAGTGTGTGCCCATTACAGATTTACAGGAAGAAAAAAGGTGCCAAGAAAGTTAACATGTGTCCATACCAATATTCAGGATGAGTCATTCTGTGAATCCGAGTCTCCCCAGGTTGACCTTGTCTCCCCAACGAGACTGAGATATCCTCCAGAAAAGGACCGCTTTACACTTTTTTGTAGCTGCCGAAGTGCCTATAACCGAACTGGGTACGTCGAACACATTCAGTAAATTTACCGACTTACTAACTGACCTCGGCTCACTGAAGTCACCTAGTTCAGTCCTCTTTTTGCATATTACGATGCTAAAGAGAAGCGAACCTGTATCACAGACTCAACACTTTCCTTTATTCCAAACTCCGCTGCGTCTCTCCACCCTCAACCGCAGGAGCAGAATCGTTGCACGATTCAAATGCAGCGGGAAACTCCAGGTTCCGCCGCGGAAAGGCCTGCCCTCCCGCGCACTCCCCTCTCCCCGGTGTAGCAGCCCGTGCCCGTCCCCGTCCACCTCTCGGAAAGGTAAAACGCGCTCACCGACTCTGGGCCGCCGGGAGACCCCGTAAACGTAGTCGTTCACTCGTCGCAGCGCTTCCAGGGAGGCACTTCCGGCGCGCGCGATGACGTCGGCAAAAGCGCCCGCCCCCTAGACCCGCCTCCGGGGCTTGGGTCAAAGGACATCCTGGAAGAGGCAGTGCTGCTAACTTCTTGTCGCCGGCTCCTGACCCTTCCCAGGACCCGTGATGCCAAGGCAGCTGCAAGGGGCGACGAACTGTCGGGGTTGAGCCCGGAGCGAGCTGAGGGCTCGCGCTCTTCTAGTCTCCCGGGCCTGCCCCACGTGAAGGTAAACGCCTACCCAGCTGCGGCCTTTCTCCCTGCGGGCTCCTCCCCAGACCCAGCTGCCGGAAACATTTGACCCTCTCTCCCGCCACCCTTTTTATTCCAAGACCTTTACTTTTCCCTGCCCTCGCATTCCCACCAGAACGGCTAACGTGTGAAGAGTTTCAGTTGGAAGCTTTTAAAAAGCGACCTGTCGATGAAGTTGTCCCCCAAAACATCCCAAGTATCAAGCGGTTTTCCCGTTACATCGCGAACTGGCACGCCTTAGAATCAATATTTTGACATTTGTGATTGTAAATACACCACACACACTTTTTAAATCGAAAATTTGAACTTGGTTGATTGAGTCTAATATAACTTTCAGAGATAATTTTCTGACTTTGCAATATACGGTATGAAAATGAATTACAGATTATATTTGTAAACTGAAAAATACATATACAGGTCAATACCCTTCAGGGCCCTGAAAACTATTCCAATAATGAAATGTATCATTTCATAATTTAGCAATAATATGCAAAATTAGAGATTTGAAAGAACTTTATTTACATCGTCAAAATGTGAGGCTAAAATTTCCTCTTAGCACCGCTCCAGAGAAAAATATTCAGACAACCAAAAAGTTACCCAGGCAAATTAGTGAAAATCAACAGCAAAGTTTCTTTCTGAGCTCCCAGGCTCTTTCTCACGTGGGTAGGCAGGGTATTAGGTATATGTGAAAGCACTTTCTTGCTCTCAGCCTGAGGGGAGGTTAAGAGTAGCCTCAGAGTTTTTCCTTCATCTGTTTGAAACCCACCTCTCCATTCACGCCATATTCCATCACTGAAAGGGGTTAGTGTAAAGAATCTACTTGAAAGAAGGACCAGAAAACTCTTTTAAGTGGTGTCTGGAGAAAAGGAATCCCTTAATTCACCCAGCTGGAGTCAATGTTCCTGAGTATTACTAAGACGGAAAGTATATAAATTTGTCACTTACCTATAGTATTGGTTTTACTTGGAATGAAGAATACCTGGTTTAAATTGCTTCTGGGTTTGTTTGTTTGTTTTTTAGAAATGAGTGGTGGATTGGCCCCAAGTAAAAGCACAGTGTATGTATCCAACCTGCCCTTTTCCCTGACCAACAATGACTTATACCGGGTAAGTTTTTGTATTAGTATTGTTATCCACTGAATTCTCTATTTGAGATACAAATGTAGCTTAAGCAAACAGTTCTCTTAGGCAAAATTCATAATAAATACATTACAATGCACTTAAATCATTAATACCAAAGACATGTATGGTAAACATAAGTAAGTGAAAAAATTAGACACTTGTAATTTCCAAAGAGAATTCCCAGTGCTTTATAGAGGATAACAAGTTTTTTATAAACACAGAAGCCACTACTAGCATAATGATGCTGATTTTTCCTCCTTGCTTACTTGGCTTTTGAAACTGGTAGTGGGGTGGAGGTTTTGGAGGAAGGGCTGATGGAAGCAAAACAGATCCCTTTCCTAATCCTCCAATCCTGAAAGTATATCTTAATTTATATATGTGGCGAAAACTTAACAGTTTAATAAAGTTTGTTTTCAGTTCAGGATAGGGGTGACTGGAGGAGAAAAAAATCCCTTCCAACATCTTCTTTCACCTTGTTACCTTACAGAGAACAAAATTTCCTTCTGTGCCTGTCCTGCAGATGGGTGGTTGAGAGGGACTGGAAGGAATGGCATGAGTCATATCTACAAGTGTGCCCGCTTTTCTCTGCTACTTTGGGTAGATGTTAAGTACAGTAGAGAGATGCTGCATAGGTGATACATAGTACTCGATTAATTAATTAACATAGCTTGAGTCTCGAACAGAGAAGAAAACAAACTTTATTGTCCTTCCTTGTATCCAAATAGAGACATCTCTTTTTATTGAACACTTACTATATGCCAAGGACCACTTACAAGTACTAGGTACACATCAGTGAACAAAAAGGTGAAAATCCCTTTCGGCACTCACAATGTAGCAAGATAGAGAAACAATTTGAAATATAAAAAATTTAAATGATGTTATTTGTTAGATACTAAGTTAATACTAAGGTATTAGGTGCTAAGGAGAAAAAATAAAGCAGGAAAGGAGGGTTATTAAATAGTGAAATTTTACTTTAGGAAGGTGACTTTCGATTAAGACATGAAGGAAGTAAGAGGCAGCTATGCAGATGTCTAGGGGGGACAAGCATTTCAGGCAGACAGAGTAAATAAAGTGGAGAGAAGAGGAGGGGCAATCAGAGGTAAGCCCATTCAGGGGTGCCTTATAGGGCTTGCATAGATAATGGTAAGAACTCTGAATGAAATGAGAAGCCATTAGAAATGTTATGTAGAAAACTGTCTTTCATACAGATGGCCAATAGGCACATGAAAAAATGCTAAACATAGCTAATTATTAGAGAAATGCAAATCAGAACTACAAGGAGGTACCACCACACACTGGTTAGAATGACCATCGTTAAAAAGTCCACAAACAATAAATGCTGGAGAGGGTGTGGAAAAAAGGGAACCCTCCTACGTTGTTGGTGGGAATGTAAATTGGTGCAATCACTACGGAAAACAATATGGAGGTTTCTCAAAAAACTAAAAGTAGAGTTGCCATATGATCCTGCAATCCCAGTGCTGGGCATATGTCCAGAAAAAACTATAATTTGAAACGAGACATGCACCTCTGTGTTCATAGCAGCACTATTCACAATAGCCAAGACATGGAAATAACCTATATGTCCATCAACAGATGAATGGATAAAGATGATGTGAGATAGATATACATACACACACACACACACACACACACACACACACACACACACACACACAATGGAATACTACTCAGCCATAGAAAAGAATGAAATACTGCCATTTGCAGCAACATGTATGGACCCAGAGATTATCATACTAAGTAAAGTAAGTGAGAAAGAGAGACAAATACTGTATGATATCACTTATATATGGAATCTAAAATATGACACAAATGAACTTATCTACAAAATGGAAACAGACTCACAGCCATAGAAAACAGACTTGTGGTTGCCAAGGGGGAGGAGTGGTGGGGAAGGGATGGATTGGGAGTTTGGGATTAGCAGATGCAAACTATTATATACAGAATGGATAAACAACAAGGTCCTACTGTATGGCACAGGGAACTGTATTCAATATTCTGTAATAAACCATAATGGAAAAAATATGAAAAAGAGTATGTGTATATATATATATGTATATACATGTATATGTGTGTATATATACATATACACTTTGCTGTACACCAGAAACTAACACAACATTGTAAATCAACTATACTGCAATAAAGTAAATTTTTTTAAAAAAAGAAAGAAAATGAAAGGCAAACCACAAAAAAAAAAAAGAAAAGAGAGAAAACTATCTTTTTGGTCTTCAGAATTCAGTATTACTAACACTGCAATCCAGTTATACTATGTTCCATGGTTACACAACTTATAGAACTCAAGCATTTATTATTACTGATTACATACATTAATGTATTCTGAAGGACTTTTGTACCAAGCATTATATAATAAATAGGACCGGCTGAAACAGTAGAAGTAGATAAGATTGCTTAGAGTGAAGATGTAGATGTAAAAGAGAAGAAAGGGCCAACTGTAAAGTACCACCAACATATTAGGGTGGGCAGAAGGAGACTGATGGGAATGGATTTTTCATTATAGAAGCTTTTTTGTTTTATGAACAGTCTATGTAAGGATTTGTCTTCTGACATAGTGATTGCTTGATGGAGTGGGGGGCTGGGGGGTAGGCCAGGAACAGTGATATTCCACAACATTGATAGCTGAAGCACAGGGTTTCTCTGGAGCTATGGTGGGGTTGATAGTTGTCATGGATATACCACAGGAACACTCAGCTGTGCAATGTGTGTGCCTTCAATCTACCACACATGAATAGTGGGTTTTTTTCTCTGTATGCACTCTTTTGTCAGAAGTTTAGGAACTAAGGCAAATACCTGTGACACCAGTAGCCAAAAAAGAGGATTATGCTAGTCACTAAAAAAATATATCTTCGAGGGCTTGCCTTATAGACCAGAGGCTAAAAATTTTCATAAACTACAACAAACAATGTGGTCAGTATATACAGCCTGAAAATTTAATGTTCTTTTATGATTTTAAATTAAATTGCAAATTATTATGTGGTCTTTTGTTTCAGATATTTTCCAAGTATGGCAAAGTTGTAAAGTAAGTATATCAGATTTTGAAACTTCATTTAAAAGTCTATCAGAATTTACTTCTCCATTATTTTCTTAATGGAAGTAGATTTACTGTTTTTTATAAAACAGATATTTGATATAAAAAAGAAATAAAAATACTACTGTTAACATTTTATATATATTTCAGTAATTTTTTAATATACATAAATATCTATAGACAAGTTTTAAAAGACAATTCTATACATGCAATTTTGTTGTCTTTTTTTTAACTTGACATTATATTGTAAATATTTTTCCATGTACCATATAGATACATCCTTGTATTTAATGATTTCATGGTATTCCTTTATACGGCCTAATTTATTTAAATAATATAATTTTGTACTATATTACTAAGAACTAAAACTGATCCTGTTATCCAATATAAGACATAAGTGAAAGGCTCCGATTAAATATATATTTTAGGTACTAGGAGGTGTGTTATCAAGTATACTATAAATGGATTATTATTTGTCAAACAAATAGGATATAAAAACAAACACAGTTGACTCCTGAACAATGCAGGGTTAATGAGAGTGTAAAGTAAAAGCAAGATAGTGTTATTCTATCTTACAACTAATAATATGTTCTGGTATAAATTTAAAGTCATATTTAAAATCCCAAGAATTTAGAGCATATTTATCTTGCCTAGTTGTTTTTCTTTTAGCTTTGATAAATGAATGTTAAACAGTTGAAGTTCATGTGCATCCTGAGGTTAACTTCTTTTAAACTTACTTCTCTATTAAAAAATAATCAAGGGCTTCCCTGGTGGCGCAGTGGTTGAGAGTCCGCCTGCCGATGCGGGGGACACGGGTTCGTGCCCCGGTCTGGGAAGATCCCACGTGCCGCGGAGCGGCTGGGCCCGTGAGCCATGGCCGCTGAGCCTGCGCGTCCGGAGCCTGTGCTCCGCAGCGGGAGAGGCCGCAACAGTGAGAGGCCCGCATACCGCAAAAAAAAAAAAAAAAAAATCAAAAATGCTACTAGGTCTTCAGAATTTCAAACAGTGATCATTATCAATCAGAACACTAATAATGATGATACGTAACAATGAATACATAAATACGCTATGCATTGTTCTAATATCTTTACATAAATTATCTCATTAAAGTCTCACAACTACCTTTTAAGGTAGCTACTGTTATTATCCTGATATTATAAATGACAAAACTGAAGCACACAGTAAACCTAAAATCATATTGCTGGTTAGCAGTGGAGCCAAGGTTTGAATCCAATAGTTTGATTCCAGCCTGTTCCTTTAACCTTTACCTTTTCTTGATTTTCCCCTGTCAGAATCGCTGAATGAATTTCCGTACAAATACATAATTATAAGCCATGAGAATGCTATGAAGTTAGACACAGAGTTATAAGCACCTGTAAACAGGGAAGACCTGATCTAGTCTAGAGAGTCAGGGTAGATTTACCTAAGTCATTATCCTTTGAGTTGAAACCTAGAGGCTGAGTAAGAGTTAAGTAGGTTAAAAGAATGGGAGGAACATTTCAGGTAGAGGGACTTGCTTGTGCAAAGGCCCTGTGGCAAGAGAAAATAAAGCGAGATCAAGAAACAGAAAGAAGGCCAGTGTGACTTGAGATGAGTGAGCAAGAGGGAGAGAGCACAAGACAGGTCCAGAGATGGAAGCAGTTTCCTCTAAGGGCACCAAGAATCCATTAAATAATTTTAAATGAGGGAGTGACATGATTTGAATTTTTAGAAGCTTATTCCATCCAGCTTCAGTGTAGATATTGGATTGGAGGGGAACAAGAGCAGGTGCAGGGAGACCAGTCAAAAGATATAACAATAGCCCAGGGGAGAAATTTGGACTAAGATGATACAGGTAGAGAGGTAAAGAGTGGTCAGATTTGAGAGATCATTAGGCAGGAAAATGGGTAATACTTAATGATATACTTACTTTGTATGTAAGGGTTGGGTGAGCGAGAAGGAGGTGTTATGGATGACACCCAGGTTTCCCAGAATAGTGTCTGCTTCACTTCATGTGCTTAAATGAGTACATCATCTACTTTATATCAGGAAATGGTACCACTGTCTAGCTTTTTTCCCATGCTGGAGACATGGGAATCATCCTAGGTTTGTCTTTTTAAATCCTTGATGTAATTATTTTTCTGTTACCGTAGAAGGTACCTCTATCAAAGTAATGTATTTTAATTGGTTTATAGGTCTTTCTCCACCTCTAGACTGTAAGCCTTTTCCTGAGGATAAAAACCCATCCTACTGCCAGTGCTTAGTACCTGTGCTTGAGGCTAATGGAAAGACTGAATGGCCACATGAACAAACAAATGGATGCACGCTTTTGAGAAACTGCTTTCCCATTTGTATCTGTCTTTTTGTTTTAACATATTGAGGTAGGATTAATAGGGGTTACAGAGACAACCTTAAAGAAGATTTTTATATCAAAATAGGTGAGATGAAAGGAACATTTTATAGATAAAGCTTAGAGAGGTGCCTGGCAAATAATAGAGTAAAAATTCCATCACATGTATCCAAACATAAAGATTTGTTATTACTGCAAAAATAAATTTTTTGAATAGGGGAGATGAGGCATTGTTTATACAGAGATTTCAGTGGAGACAAGCAGAAAAGAAAGGAGAAGAAATTATTTCCAGTTAAGAACTGATACATTCTGAACCCTGAAGAAGGAGTGAAATTTTAATGGGCAAAACATTGAGATTTGAAAGCGGATAGAAGCCATACGAACAGAGGCACCAGTTTAGGGGAAGTTCAGGCCATGCTTCATGAACACTGAGTGCCTTCTTGTGGCTAGACCTCATAGTTTGCAAGTGAGGAGCAGTGAAAGATGAGGGAAGGGGAGCCATAATCATGAAGGATATTGATTGCTGGACCAAAGAATAGGCAACTTGAAGAACCAAAGATTTTTGAGCAAAGGAATAAGTGATTTTATTTATTCCTCAAGTAGAAGACTTTTCCCCTAGCATGTGAGCATAACTTAACACCAAGGGAACCAGTAAGAATAGATTATGGAAACAGTAATGCCACCGTGGACAAGAAAAAAAGCAGTGGGAATGGAAAAGAGAGGACAGATGAAAGAGGTCATTAACTGAGTATGACTTAGAAAGCTAACACTTCCAAATAGTACTTTCAAAAAAAATGATTTATGACTTTAACTGACCATCACAAACATTATGAAATTTTTAAAAAGTTAAAGTAACTATCTTACTTTATACTTCTTTCAAAATTGGTTAAAAACTTTCCTGTTTATGCTAACTGGTGTGGCTTTGAAGAAAACCAGCCTAAACTTGAGCTGCGTCAAGTGCTTGACTTCTCTTCCTTCCTTCTAAGCCCAATGAATAAACAGATGCAGCCTTTTGAGAAAGTAAACCATTTTAGTTGCCCATTTTTCCCTAAATTATTGTAACTTATATTTTTTTTTATAAGACATCACTTTTCTTAATATCATGGCATCTTTTTACCAATTTCATTCCAATGACTCTATAGGTACCTAATCCCAAATCCAAATAAAATAAATTTTAATATGTGAAACGTAATACTAAATCAAATTTCTGTTTATTTATTCATTCATGTTCTCTTGTCTGTTTTCCTGTTAATTCAGTTTTTAGAAAATTATTAAGCTTTGTCTTAGAGCTTTGTCTCTTTTTTTGCTATTTGGAAATAATTTCAAATTTATAAGTTACAAAAATAGTACAAAGAACATCAAAATATCCCTTGCCCAGATTGACTTATTAACATTTTATCCCCATTTACTTTATCATTTGCACTCTCTCCCCAATGTGTGTGCATGTATGTGTGTGTGTGTGTGTGTGTGTGTATACACACACACACCTATATGAGTATGTTTATATATATCTATGTGTATACATACACACAATTTGTTTTTGTGAGTCATTTGAGGCTGTTATAAACATCATCACCCTTTACTCCTAAATACTTCAGTGTGTATTTCCTACAAATACAATAGCGTTATATGTTATATAACCACAGTACAGTTACCAAACTCATAAATTTATCCTGATGCAGTACTTTTGTTGAATCAGTCATCCATGTTCCAGTTTTGTCACTTGACCCAATAATGTCCCACATAGAATTTTTTGCCTCTAGTACAGAATCCAGTCTAGAGTTAGGTGTTATTTTAACTGTCCTATCTTTTTAGCCTCCTTTAATCTGGAACATTTATAAATAATATAGCTCTAACCCATCTTTTTTTCCCCTCATTTTGTGTTTTCCTGATGTTGCCTCATGATTATGTGGTGGTTATGTATTCTTGGGTGGCATACTCTATAGGTGATGTGTTCTGAGGGTGTCACATCTGGATTCATACAGCATGCATCTGTCCCTCATTAGTGATATTAATTTTGATCACCCAGTCAAGACGTTAACCAACTTCTCCACTGTATAATTACTTTTTTTCCCTTTTGCAACTAAGAAGCAGTCAGTGGGAGACACTCTTGAGACAATGCAAACATCCTATTACACATAAAAATTTCATTTTAGACATAGCATTTGTTGATAATTCTTGACTGATCCAGTACCATGATTGTTTCAAATGGTGATTTTCCAACTCTAGCACTCCCTATACATTCACCAGTCATCCTTTGGCATTCAATAGCTCTCCTTTCTCCCCCTTTTATTTATTATCAGTATGGACTTATGAATTCCTTTTTTATGTGGTTTATAATTCATTACTGTATTTAATTATTTTGGTACTCAGACTGTCCTAGATTTGGCCAATCGGTGCTCCCTCCAACTGGCTTCTCTGTTCTTGTGCCATGCCCCATCGTTACTATTTTTTTCAAGTACTCCCTTTCTTTTTTTTTTTTAATTAATTAATTTATTTATTTTTGGCTGAGTTGGGTCTTTGTTGTTGCACGCGGGCTTTCTCTAGTTGCGGCGAGCGGGGGCTACTCTTTGTTGCAGTACGCAGGCTTCTCATTGCAGTGGCTTCTCTTGTTGCAGAGCACGGGCTCTAGGCGTGTGGGCCTCAGTAGTTGAGGCTCATGGGCTCTAGAGCGCAGGCTCAGTAGTTGTGGCGCACGGGCTTAGCCGCTCCGCGGCATGTGGGATCCTCCCGGACCAGGGCTTGAACCCGTGTTCCCAACATCAGCAGGCGGATTCCCAACCACTGTGCCACCAGGGAAGCCCCAGTACTTCCTTTCTGACATAGCAAGATGTTCCAAGAGCCCTGTTGAATATTTTCTTAAACTGTATTTAATGACATATGATGAGCGAGGACCACAGGACTAGGGATGGGTAAAGCATCAGGAAAAAGAACAGGCTCTGTGCTCTTACGACCATCCCTACCACTTACGTACCTTGGGTAGTATGGCTAAGAAGCACAGAAGTGGAGATTCCTTAAAAGAATATTAAGATTATAGTTATGTTCTAACACCTAGAAAAAAATAATTTGAGTAAATCACTTTACTTTTTGGGTAGAAGAGAACATCTCAGTTTTGTTTTGTTTTGTTTTTTCCTGCAGAGTGAGGGAGTCAGTAGAGAAGAGGAATTATGCTTACTCCTCAAGATTCCATTGTCTCTAATCTCTTCATCCTTCAACTCTGATTAATGTTAGATTTATCAGATACTCCTAATCATAGCTGTGTTCACTTGTGTGAAATCAGTATCACACTTTCCCATTTCCATTCTTCTTGATATCCCATGACTTTGAAGAGTTAGCTATTTGTCAAATATATTAATTTCCTTGCTTACTCTATAAATGTTTTATTAACCCTTTTTGACCACTTGAGTTTTTCAAGTATTTATTCATATATGTTGTTTATGCTGCCTTATTATTTTTAACTGGCTATTTGTTTATGCTTTAAGGGTTACTATAATGAAAGATAAAGATACCAGGAAGAGTAAAGGGGTTGCATTTATTTTATTTTTGGATAAAGACTCTGCACAAAGCTGTACCAGGGCAATAAACAACAAACAGGTAAGCCATTCATTCCCAACAAGGTTTTTAACCAAAAGCCTTTGTGCTTATCCAGGCTAAAAATGTGGGGATGAGGGGATAGTCAAGTCTGATGGATATCAGTAGGTCCTGAGGGTATTTAACGTACAGAATAGAGGTCAAAACTGTACTGGGTTCCCAAAACACTGGTAGAATATAAGGAATAAAAGTCTATTCTACAGGAAAGAATTTGTCACACCTAAGTGGGCAATTGCTAAAATAATCTAAAAAATAAAATGGAATTGAAGGTTTGAGGAAATGGGATCCAATATCTGTAGTTTTAGGTTTCAGTGAAATACATCCTATTGCATGTGCATTTTTCTCTGTTCTAGTTATTCGGTAGAGTGATAAAAGCAAGCATTGCTATTGACAATGGAAGAGCAGCTGAGTTCATCCGAAGACGAAACTACTTTGATAAATCTAAGTGTTATGAATGTGGGGTGAGTAAACCTAAAACAGTATAATTTTCCATAGTTTACTTGAAGGTATTTTTCACATCAGTGTTTTGTTTGTGTTCTCCAAGACTTCTGGATGGCTAAAATCAGGTTATGAAAGTTTTACTTTGGGACTCTAGACTCATGTAAGTAAACTCAATTGAAATGTCGTATGTAAAGTTAACCTGAGTTGGGTAATATAGGGTGGTATTTTCTCCAGTTTCCAAACCTTTGAAAGTTGTTAGATTAAAAAGTTTAAGACTAATTACTTACATTATTGTCTGAAAGATTTTAGTGACCCATAAATGATTTTAGTGACCCATAAATGATTAAGTATCACAAATCAGTAAAAACATTATGATATGACCCATCCTCTATGGGATATTGTTTTGAAGTTTTCCCCCCTATTTGTACTGCTGATAGTTCAGGAGCTGAACTATACCCAGATTTTCTTATCTAGTTCTCATCATCTGTTGTTATCCATTTAAACTTTGGGTGATTAGGAGAGATGTATAGCCACAACACAACGTTGCCCAAGGCCCATAATTGTATCAAGAGAATTTCAGTCTGGGTCTGTTGCTGCCTATTTCTAAAATGTCTTTATGTATACTAAAAAGCAGGATCCAGAGGTTAATGGGGAGCTTTCTACTGAAGAGTAGATTACTGAGAGACATTGTCCTGGCTACATGATCATATGGAAAGTAGAAGGAAATGTGTTGGGGTCCTTTCCCCAGTGCCACTCACTCCCCCTCAAAAATATATACATATACAGACAGATGGGTGGGTGAATAGACAGATGGATGGATGGACGGAAAGAGAAAGCAAGCAAGGCACTGGGTACATTCTGTAAATTTTTATGATTCTGACACCTAAGTTAATGTTTCAAAACCTGTGTTCCAGAGTCCATCATAAAAAAGAAAAAAAAGAAAGGAAAGGAGGGTGGAGTTGTTATGGTCAGATAAATAAGTATATATCCACATATTCACAGTAAATATTAAATTATCTAAGAACTCCTGGATGAATCTGTTAATCTGTCTTTTTGGTTTATGGATCCATAGATTTGTCATATTATACTTAGTACATTATAATATTTCTTAAAACATCCCCCCACAAAAATCTGTTTACGTTTATTTTAGCCTGATTTTTCCCAAAGCTATTTCACTATTAAACCCCTGCCCCCATTTTTTTTTTTTGTATGGCATATGTTAACAGTTTTTGGTATACCATTATTCCAAAAACAACTTGAAAAATGGTTCTCTAAGTACATCCTCTCAGCAGTTCATTAACAATAACACCTCTTGGGTTCAGCCGTGTCCCCAGGTATACAAAATACACAGTCTATTTGATGCTTTGTAAAATATACTTGAAAAGCATGATTATTTTTCTCTTCTGTTGTTCTAATCCTGGCTCAGCCTCTCTGCACACCCTCATTCTCACATATTACTTCTAAAGGTATTTTGGTAAGCTAATACACAGATTCATTGTCTCATTTTACAACTCAAACCATGTTATGGCTCATTATAATGTTATGGCTAGTCCAGCACTGTCAAATACAAACATATGCAAGCCACAGATTTAATTATAAATGTTCTAATAGCCACATTAAAAAAAGTAAACAGGGTAAAAACTTAATATATTTTAATTCAAAATATTTTCATTTGAATTATGGAATTAAAATTTTTTTAATTATAATATTTTACATTCTTTTTTCATACTGCCTTCACAATCCAGTATGTATCAATTCAGACAGGTTCTCAGTAACCACAAGAGAATTATAGCTAGTGGCTACCATAAGTGGACAGTGCAGGTGTAGTCTAGATATGAAAGAAGCAAAATGAAATTAATTGATAGGAAAAGTGAGGAAGACTTTAAATTTTCCATTTGTTTTTAAAAGAAAATGTTCAGCAACATCTTGGAAGTTAGGAATAGTTTTGTCCCCATTTTATCATAATAACTTAAAATTTTTACAACTAAGGTAGATGGTCCATTTAAATTTTGAATTATTTTATATCCTGAATCTTCAGATTTAAAATGTTTGAAGGAAGAAAACTTCTTTTACTCTTAGTGAAACGACTAGAATACTTCCTTATTGGGAGTTATAATATCATAATCTCTTCCTTCTAAATATTAAAGTAATGGGTTTTAATTTCTTTGTGTATATTCCCTGTGTGACAATATTCTTTTTTTAAATTAATTAATTAATTTATTTATTTATTTTTGGCTGTGTTGGGTCTTTGTTGCTGTGCGCGGGCTTTCTCTAGTTGTGGCGAGCAGGGGCTACTCTTCATTGTGGTGCGCGGGCTTCTCATTGCAGTGGCTTCTTGTTGTGGAGCATGGGCTCTAGGCACACGGGCTTCAGTATTTGTGGCTCGCAGGCTCAGTAGTTGTGGCTCGCGGGCTCAGTAGCTGTGGTGCACGGGCTTAGTTGCTCTGCAGCATGTGGGATCTTCCCAGACCAGGGCTCAAACCCGTGTCCCCTGCACTGGCAGGTGGATTCTTAACCACTGTGCCACCAGGGAGGCCCCTGTGTGACAATATTCTTTCTTAAGTTATAAAACATTTTAGTCTTAAGGAACCACCTAGTTTCTGTTAATAACACAACAAATTTAATATTTCTCCTTTCCTTTTTAATGGGAAACAAAAGGAAAGTGGACACTTAAGTTATGCCTGTCCTAAAAATATGCTTGGAGAACGTGAACCTCCAAAGAAGAAAGAGAAAAAGAAAAAAAAGAAAATTCCTGAACCAGAGGAAGAAATGTATGTATAGCCACTCTTAGCAAATGCATTATTGTGTAGCTTCTGTCTTTTTCCTAAGTGCATTCTGATTTTTTAAGTGCATTCTGATTTTTTTTTTAATAATTTAGTGAAGAAGTAGAAGAAAGTGATGATGAAGGGGAAGATCCTGCTCTTGACAGCCTCAGTCAGGCCATAGCTTTCCAGGTACTAAATAGTTCTTTTCTAAGGTACCATGCCATAGCTGCCTTGAGTTAACGGTTTTATATTCCTTGCTTACTTTATTAATCATCTCCTGATGGCAACCTCTGTCTTCCCCTTTGCCCCTAAACTTTAGGAGATAGGCTTTTTCTTTAAGGTCTTTAGAACAGTGTGGTGGAAAAGTGCCTGTCGGTTCTTTCTAGATTTTGAGGGCCCCACAACACTTTTACTGTCTTAATCTGTTTTCATTATAGAATTGAACAGAACTATTTGATTCAAGTGAATTTAGCCCAATGGAAAAGATTTTACTAAATCGAAGATACTGTTTTAAAAGAAGCTTCATTTTAAAACAAAACCAAAAACATATTTTTGACCATTAAATATCCTAATACAAGTATACAAAACATTTTTTGAAGAAGGGTGTATAACTTCCTGATTTTATATAACCACTTATTTTGTTTTAATGTAGTTGATAAATCGTAAATGCATACATCAATTTATTTTTTCCTTTTAGTTAACTAATGTATTTTATGTAACATTCCCACATCCAACAGGGATGACAAGTAGGCTTCATTTCATATGCCTGTTAATTAGTAGAACTTGTCTAAAATAATTTTGATTAACATGGTAAGACTGGGACAAAACTTGGGGGTAGGGGAAATGGCATCTTAATGGAGTAGAACTGTCTGCACGGGCTAGGAGGGTAGAGAGTGCTGGCACTTGTGATGTATGTTTTGCCATGTTTTGAATCAATGGACTGTAAATAATATTAAACAGATTCCTGATTTTGTTTTGTTTGTTTTCCGAACCACATTACAGCAAGCCAAAATTGAAGAAGAACAAAAAAAATGGAAACCCAGTTCAGGGGGTCCCTCAACATCAGATGATTCAAGACGCCCAAGGATAAAGAAAAGCACATATTTCAGTGATGAGGAGGAACTTAGTGATTAAAATTATATATATTATGTCAATATCATTAAAAAATTTTTTAAATCTTGGAGTATCAAGTTCCATTGGGACTAAAGATTACTTTTAGAATTTGAACATAAGAACACTTAGTACCAAATAGTTTTTTACTTTAAAATAGTTCATAGGAAATTGAAAAGTAATTTTAAAGTATGTTTATCTTGCATCAAGATTTGCTAATAATCATTAATCTTGAAAACAGTTCATTTGAATAAAAAAGAAAACTTAGTACTATCATAATAATGCTATTGTCATCCCAAGAAAAAAGGTAGATAAGTAAAAAGATTTGTTTGAGAAGTTCATTATAAAAGTTTATTCATGATTGGCTTATTTGAGGACTTTTGAAATAAATTTCATCTTTAAAACAAAAACCTCTTAAAGACTGAAAAGGTTGAATGATTTATTGTGATTAATGTTACTAAAATTTTCTCAAGAGAATTTTATTTTTAAATGTAGGTGTTTTTGTCATCTTATTTCTTTTACCTTTATCCCAATCTGGATACATTGTAATTACCCATAAAATTTAAAGTAAAGTAGCTCTCAAAGGTTTGTAACCAAAGAGCAGTAATTTGTTCTTTGGCACAAAGTTCCATTCCCCAAAAACAGCCAGCTTCTATATTTGTGCCTTTTCACTTGTACATACATCTTGCTAAATAAAATACATATATTTCTGCCACTTAATCCATAAAAGGATGAAAGAAGACTTTTCAATCTCCTATACTCCCCTCTGCCCTCCTCCACCTTCCCAACATGGCTACGTTAAAATTTTTGGTTAAATCCATATTTTATTGTTTTTATTTTAGGACCATTGAAATACTGTTCAGAGCTAATGAGTGTGCTATGATTACATTTTTCCTAGAGTTAAGAATTGCCTGGTTTTTTTCATGTATTATATTTCTTTGTATTTATGACTGAAGCTTCCCATACCTTTTGCAGATGGATATATGGGAATGGGATTACGGAGCCTTTAATTTTCTACTTTCGCTATTTCTGTACTATTGAATGCTTTTTAAAAGAACATCTATTTATTAGTTTCTTAATTGCTAAAAGCAATAAAAATATTTCCACTTTGAAAACTATAAAGGCAATGAAAGTGTTAACCCCTTACCAGCAAAATATCTTCTAGATCTCAGTGAGGAAACCAGACAAAAAGGTTGAATGCTGGACTCTATTTTCTGTTTCACCCATTAATTCATCAAATTTAAAGCAAAGAAAAAAATTGGGAAAAAACATGCCACAAAATACAGAAAAGTTTATATGAATACCTTAAAACAGAATAGAGAATGAGCTAGTGACATAAACAATATATAGAAAATTTAAAATAGTAAATGAAAGTATTTTATCAAAGAGTCTATTCAACTAGTAGGACATTAGTTTTTTTTTTTACCTAATTAAAAAAATTAGTGGTGATGAAGATGTCATAAGAATACTTGTATTATATACTGGCTAATTTCTGAAGGGTAATTTAACAAGTATCAACTATTAAGTATGTTCTATTGTTTGAACTAGAAACAACATTCTCTTTTATCCTAGGGTTCTAGTCAGAAATACAAATATTTATGTACAAAGGTATATATTGTTATTTAAAATTCAGAACACAAATAGTTAAATATCAACAAAAGATAAAGCATGATACATACAAAATGATTATTAGAAAGCATTAAAATGTTTCAGAGAATTCCTAATGGGATGGAAAAACATTATGGATTTAATGGCAAGTGCAAAATACCTGCTGTGTATGGATACATACATGCATATGGATGGGAAAGTCAACAACTAAGGTAGTAATGGCATAGCAGTTAAGACTATAGTCTCTTGACGGACATACCTAGGTTTCTGTGGCCACGTTTCCACTTAGAGTTGATGGCCTGAGGCCATTTACTTAACCTGAGTTCTCTGAAAAATAAAAAGGTACAAACAACACCAAAAGACAAATATTGTATAATTCTACTTATACGAGGTACCTACATTAGGTAAATTGATAGAGACAGAGTAGAATCGAGGTTACCAGGGACTGGGAGGAAGGGGGAAGGGAGTGTTATTGTTTAATGGGTACAGAATTTTTGTTGGGGATGATGAAAATGTTTTAGGTGTAGACAGTGGTGGTGGTTACACAGTGTTGTGAATGTACTTAATGCCACTGAATTGTATACTTAAAAACGGTTAAAATGGTAATTTTTTTTTTTTTTTCCTGCGGTGCATGGGCCTCTCACTGTTGTGGCCTCTCCCTTGCAGAGCACAGGCTCCGGACTTGCAGGCTCACGGGCGGCCATGGCTCACGGGCCCAGCCGCTCCGCAGCATGTGGGATCTTCCCGGACTGGGGCACGAACCCATGTCCCCTGCATTGGCAGGCGGACTCTCAACCACTGCACCACCAGGGAAGCCCTAAAATGGTAAATTTTATGTATATTTTACCACACAAACAAATATACAAACATAGCTGGTTAAAATTTTTGTGTAAAGAGCAGTTAAGCCACCAGGACCCTTCCTGCCACCCGCCAGTCATGCTGAACCATGATACCTGCAGTCTCCTTCCCCTGCCAATGTCCAAAACACTCTCAGATAAGTTCATTTCACCTCGAGCAGGGGATTGGTGGGGGGGGAGATGTCGTTCCTTCCCAGGAGAAAAGACATAGACACTGGAAATTGGGCCCTAAAAATAGGTCAGTTCAACAATAAAGTCCCTCAAGTTGATATACCCAAGGTGGTGGTGGTGGTATATGCTTCTGATCAGCTTTTAAGTGCTCCACATTCAAATAATGAACAGACATATCAGCATCAACAAGTGTTTGAGGAAGTCCTCAAACAGCAGAAATCCAAATGACTAGACCAAAGAAAGGAGCTTGGAGGAGCTGAGAATTCTGGCTTTAAAAATCTGACTCCCTGGGTTTCCGGGAAAAGGACTGTGGACCTGTAATAAACTGGATGATTTCTAACGTAAAAGCAGCTGTCAATCAGAGAATGCCCATCCTACCAGATATAAGATATGTTTTCTTTCCCTCTGCAATCATTTATTTACTCATTTGTTATTTTGGGGTTTTTTTTGACTAGGTGCCTATTCTGGAACTGCTGGTTATAATTTTCAGAAACTGCTGCCTATTCTGGAACTGCTGGTTATAATTATCACAGGAAACAGATGGCCACATGTAATAGGACATATTTATATTATAAGTATTAACTGTTAATTCATTTCTTTGTTTTATATTCCATAAGTGTGTGTAATTTGTGGTACACAACAGTGATCACGAAATATTTAGGCATTAATACGTGTAAATAGTAAAAGAGAAGTACTTGAAAGCTTTACATAGAATATACCAGAGCTAGATCAGTAATTTAGGCACAATTGTTTGTAGAGGAGTGAAGCATGATTTTAAAAGGGGAGGTAAAGGATCACTGGATCACATAACTGAGACATTTAGCTTCAGAAATGGATGAAGGGGTTAAAAATCTAATTACAAATCTCTTTTTCTTTGTCTCTTAACCACTGCTTTCCTCTGTACTACCTTTGTTTTCCACAAACTTGCTTTATGAGATAGCAGGGTTGACCACCAGTATCTCTAAAGCTAGGAATCCTAAGAATGAGAACTCGTCTCCCCCAACGGTTCCAGCAAAAGTCCCAAGAAAAGCCCTAATATGCCAGTCCTGTGTCCCAGTCCCCATTCTGGAAGATGAGTAGGGCAGTCCGACCCAACTCACATGGATATTCCCATGCAATGTGGTATTTATGTTCAGTTTGGAATCAACGTGGAAGTTCCTTATCTTGTCAAGCCTGTTAGGCTCTCCCTTCATCATTGTCAAAGGCAGAATACTGAGGCAGCTGAGCGGGATGCACAGAGAAAACAGATGCAGCACCAAACAAAAAAGCTATTTCCCGGGCTTGCCTGGTGGCGCAGTGGTTGAGAATCTGCCTGCTAATGCAGGGGACAGGGGTTCGAGCCCTGGTCTGGGAAGATCCCACATGCCGCAGAGCAAGTGAGCCCGTGCGCCACAACTACTGAGCCTGCGCGTCTGGAGCCTGTGCTCCGCAACAAGAGAGCCGCGATGAGGCCCGCGCACCGCGATGAAGAGTGGCCCCCGCTTGCCACAACTAGAGAAAGCCCTCGCACAGAAACGAAGACCCAACACTGCAAAAATAAATAAATTAATAAACTCCTACCCCCAACATCTAAAAAAAAAATTATATAAAAAAAAAAGAAGCTATTTCCCATAGTCAGCAATGTTCACGGGTAACTTGCAAAACATGGAAGGAGGGTAAAGGCTCTTTGGAAAGCAGTTTGATAAGCACTGTTACTTAAAGTAACAACGTAAGCAACTGCAGTCAGAGAGCAAACCCAAGACAACAGGATGGGTTTAGCCATTGTCAATTATTTTAAAAATTGCTTTCATAAGATCCAAATTTTCAGAATCCTTAGGTACTGTTACAGATGGAACCAATTAATAATTTTAGTTAAGCTCTGGTACCTAGAATAAGCAGACCAGAAATACAACACCTTTTATAGAATGTGGTCTTTTAAGCAGATTCCTTTCTGGAATTGTTGCATTTTTTATCACTACATCTTTCCAAATACATGGCTTTTTTTTTTCCTCTGATTGTATTTTTCTTGTCCATTATGGTTTATTACAGGATGTTGACTATAGTTCCCTGTGCTATACAATAGGACCTTGTTGTTTATCCATTCTATATATAATAGTTTGTTTGCATGTGCTAGTCCCAAACTACCAATCCAACCCTCTCCCACCCCCCTCCCCCTTGGCAATCACAAGTCTGTTCTCTATGTCTGTGAGTCTGTTTCTGTTTCATAGATAAGTTCATTTGTGTCATATTTTAGATTCCACATGTAAGTGATATCTTTCTCTTTCTTACTTACTTCACTTAGTATAATAATCTCTAGGTCTATCCATCCATGTTGCTGTAAATGGCATTATTTCATTCTTTCTTATGGCTGAGTAACATTCCATTGTATATATGTACCACATCTTTATCCATTCTTCTGTCAATGGATATTTAGGTTGTTTCCACATCTTGGCTATTGTAAATATTGCTGCTGTGAACATAGGGGTGCATGTATGTTTTCGAATTATAGTTTTGTCTGGATATATGCCCAACAGTGGATTTGCAGGATCATATGGCAACTCTACTTTTAGTTTTTTCAGGAACCTCCATACTGTTCTCCATAGTGGCTGCACCAATTTACATTCCCACCAACAGTGTAGGAGGGTTCCCTTTTCTCCACACCCTCTCCAACACCAAATGCATGGCTCTGTGTGAAACACATAACCTTTTATAAGGAGATGGTATAATTTGGTGAGATTTATTCCAGGATGGAAGGATGATTCAACAGCCACAAATCAAAACACCATATAAACAAAACAAAGGATAAAAATCATATGATCGGGCTTCCCTGGTGGCGCAGTGATTGAGAGTCCACCTGCCGATGCAGGGACACGGG